AGATTGCCTTCAGGCCCAGGCCGCCCTTGAAAAAGAGATCCGAGATCTCAATGGGATTTGCCTGGTTTAAATAATGGTAAATGAATAAATAAATAATATATTGCACAAAAACTTAAGCATGATATTCGTACTGTTAAAGAGCCAATATTATGTGTTTCTCAGGCATACATTTAAATACTATGAGCGGTGTGTGTGTGGGAGGGCTTTGCCATGAGGAAGCCCGGCTTAAAGACACGTCCCAGGGGGCGTTTCTAGTCCCCACCTGTCATTTTGCTCCTCAGCATGGTTTCCTAAAAACGCTGCAGGATTTCTCAAACATGCATGAATGAGTCAGAGCAAGGCTTTGGGCATGTTTTTTATGAGAGTATAACATTATAACATGATATAAAACTCAAAAGAGTTGATTTTACATGATATTGCCCCTTTAAAAAATGTCTGCAACTCAGCAATTTTTAGCCATATTGACTTGAAATTTTGTTCATTGGTCGCTGACACTGATCTCTGATTTTTTGAAAAGGCAGTAATTACTCATTTTTGACGTACAAAGCTGAAATTTGACATAGTGGTAGCTAAAAACAGTTCTCATCACATGCTGTGTCTCAATTCATGGGTTGCAGCTGACATGGACGACAGCCGACGTTAACGTTCTTCGGTCCGTGATAAATTTCCAAACTCTGCTAAAATAATAATTATTTAAAAAAAAACTCCGAAGTAAAATAAAAAAAAAACTTTGCTGTTTTTGTTTTTCTGTTCAATTTGCTAACCGCACAATGAATTCTGGGATACCGTCGGCCATGTAGGATACTAAGATACAGTAGGCGTTTTCGGGGTTTTGTTTAGACACCTATGAATTGCGACACAGCCACTGCAAACATCTATCAAAAATCCAAGATGGCCACCATAGCTAAATGAAAGAATTGACCATAAGTTGACCTGTGGTCTTACTGTGTGCAGTTTGCATGTTCTCCTGGTGGGCTTTAGTTACCTCCAACATGTTAAAAACATAATTTAAAGTTTCTGCTTGTTTGGTTAAAGAAAAGTTAATCAATGTTTTTAGAAACATGTAGAAATTTTTTCATTTCTGTTACAGCTCTTAATCATCATCTCTCATCTCTACAGGTCTATATGCCACACCACTGTGTCCCCGTCCAAGTCCATCCCCATCCCTACTAGCTTCAGAGGCAACGAGGAGGACCACCGGAACCAGTTTGGCCAGCGGGACCGTTCGTCCTCTGCCCCCAATGTCCATATCAACACCATTGAGCCTGTCAACATCGATGTGAGTCTGCTCTTCCTCCTCTGCTCAGGGGGGTGATGAAGAAGTCTGGACAGGAGCACCGGTGGTCCTTCACACGTTCTGTTTCATCAAGTTATTTTTTCTTTTGTGTAAAGTTTGCTGGAACCAGATTAGCAGCTCCTGCTTTTCTCATCAGAAATGATCCAGACAGTTTACAGATGTCTGAGGCTCTATTAGCTGTGAGCTTCTTACTGCAAGCGTCCCACAGTTTCACTGAATTAAAAACTCATCACTTTATTATGTTGCTTTATTTAAAAAAAAACAGCTAGTATTAAATTATCTTCCTACACATCACATTCTTCATGAGGTACATTTACTTCATGTTGATGGTTTATTGCACAGATATAAATACTAATATTTAAACATGTGAATTTAATACTAGAGAATATTGAGAAATTCATCCTGACTTACTTTTTAATCATCTTTTCTGAGTTAAATGAGGACAGTCACTTTAAAAACCTGTTTACTATAAATAATTATATATTGCGCCATCTGTTGGCAGCTTCTGTTTGTGACCTGATTCCCAAACATTGGATGTTTGTTTCTGATCCAAATGAACATTTTCTTCCTGTTTTCCTCGTAGGACCTGATTCGAGATCGGGGCTTGCAGAGGTCTGATGGAGGTAAGGATCGAAAGAAAAGTCGGTTAAATACAGAGCTGTAAAATGACCGCAGTTAAACTGAAAAGAGTTTAGAATAACTGCAACATTTTCTAGACGAACACGGTGAAGATTGGACTTGGAGGTAGTTTCAGTCTGGAGAGGTTAAAAACTAAGTGAGGTTTTCAGATCCAGTTTGGTTTGTGGCTACATCTGAGGGAAGGACAGTCAGACTTGATGTGGATTTTATCCTTGGAGACTCCGACCCAGATCCTTAAAGAATCTGTTATTGTTTGGTTCCAGACTCTGCAGCAGATTTGTGAGGTCCAGTGGTGGGCATCAGCCATCTAAAGCGCAAATCCACTAATTGCGGACCTAAATATTTTGTTTGCGCTTTAGCGGTTTTACTAATTTTATAATTCATAAGCGGATATGCGCTTTCTAAAATTAAAATGCAGTACTGCTAATAACTAATTATCTACCAGGCATCATTATCTTGAACAGTGGGAGGAATGACTGTCAATGAATCACAACACATGTGATCTGTCCAACAGCACCCCTCCCAGATAAACACACTTATTGGGAAGGTATACATCCTTGCTGACTGTTGCTTTTGGTCACGGTTCTGATTTCCCACAATGCTTTGTGTCCGCTTACGTAGGAGGAAGGCAATGGCTAGAAGTCCATGTTCCAGCAAAAACAGTAAACGTTTGTAATCCATACTAAAATTTTGTATGTATTGATTTATTTGACTTTACAATCAGAGCTCCTTTTAAAAAAAATAAAAAATACAGTTTAAAAGCTGGAGCTCAATACTTTGTAATTGGTCGAAGCAATCGGCCAACGGGGTTAGACAGACACCTAGTGGTCAACTGGAGCAACTACATGGAAAACTTTAAAATCTGACCATGCTCTTATTTTGACGTGAAGATAGTTTCCTGTACTCCGTGCTTTCATTTCCCGTCACAAATCAAATCCGTCACGTACCCAGAATGCATCGCTTCAGTTTTCCAATAAACAGTTTTAAAATTACTTCATTGATGCTTCTTTAATGAAAAATCTACAACAAACAAAAGAAAAAGACAAAGAAGCAGCCGAACTAGCAATCCTCAACAACTTTTTAATTTTTACACCAGGAGCTAAAGGTCTGTTTCATGAAATCACATCCCCAGCAATCGGTGCTTGTAGGATTAAGCTGTGAAAGGGTTCATACACCGCTAGTTGGCAGTATTGTACATATATTGTACATGAATTGTTGCCAGCTAGTAAGTGTTAAATTGAACTTGCGCTTTAAAATTAGCTTCTGCTAGTTTTTTTATGGCATAAGCGCATTTGAAGTTGTGGACCTAAATAATTTAATAAGTGCTTTAGAAATTGCAGAGCTAATTTTTGGGTTAGCGCTGCCCATCACTGGTGAGGTCCATGTCTCAGTGAGCGGGAGCTCTCTGAGCTCCTGAATGTTTGGTGTGTCGTCTTCATGTGTGACTGATCTGAGTTGGAGTCCAACCTGAACTGGGCAGGTTCTGTTTTAGCTTGATAATCGTTTCACAGAGACTTTTTATTTAGATGATTTCCATCATAAATAAACTGAATTGGATTGAATTTGTTCAGCTTTACATTTGCTTGGGTTTAACTGGATAATTATTGAGTGAATTATTCTACTCTCATGTACATGGCCAAACACTACTAACTGATAACAGCTGCTTTTTCTTTTCGTCTCGTCTTCACATTGATTGGTCCGTCCATCCCTTCTCACCTGGTTTATCTTCTTCTTCAGGCTCCACCACTGGGCTCTCAGCCACCCCTCCTGCATCTCTACCAGGATCACTGACCAACGTCAAAGTCCCACAGAAGTCCCCGTGCCAACAGAGGGAGCGCAAGTCGTCCTCTTCATCGGAGGATCGCAATAAAATGGTGAGTGTGTCGGAGCTGCAGGGCCGTGCTGCTGCGCTCCGGCTTCTTGTGCTGACTCTGTGTCCTCTGGAACAGAAAACTCTGGGGAGACGGGACTCCAGTGATGATTGGGAGATTCCTGAGGGTCAGATCACCCTGGGTCAGAGGATAGGCTCAGGCTCCTTTGGAACAGTTTTCAAAGGAAAGTGGCACGGTAAGATTCTCGTTGTGAAAACACAATCAGTCAGCAGCATAATGCGTTGTTTCACTGCCTACGGGGGGTGGGGGGGTGGGGTCAAACTTCAGCCATTAGAGCAGGTCCTTCAGGTCTCTGCATCTATGCAATCCTTAAGTTTGGGACTTTTGGACCAGCAGTACGCAGATAATAAACCCACCAATGGAAAGGTGGCACCAGTGAATGAAAACCCACCCAGTTAGTGGACTTTATTAAAGCCCTCTGTTGCATGGGACTGTAAAACCATAGATGAGTGTGTTGAATGTTTTGTCCACATGGACTGGGTCATCCAGCTTCAGAGTTTTGAATTCAGTGCCAACCTTCTGTTACACCCCTGCTCATTGGAGAGTGACCACACTTCAACAGTCTAGAACATGGATGGGCTTCAGGAAGTCGGGGCTTCCCATTAAGTGTGATCACGAGTTGTTATCATTATGTAGAGACCTCCCATGTGCAGATTGACTCAAAGTTATAAAAACAGCCTCATGTAGATGTGATACTGTCTACATGAGGCTGTATCAAGGAGGTTTTATAGAACAGCTGGAGTGCGCAGAAACTGTGTGTCCATGTGATCGGCTGGAGAAGCTAACGCTAAACGGTCAAGAGTCTGGATTTCCCATTACTGTACATGTTGACAACAGAGCAGAAAAAAAGGACTGACGATGTAGAAATCATTAAAACTATTAATAATAATATTAACAAAATTATTATTAATATTTTACAGTTTCTATAATCTATCTAATGTTTTAAATAATGTCAGAAAAGCTGTGTGTTATGGATTTATTAACAGAAGATAAACAGGAAAACGTCTCATTTTACAACACAAGTCAGCAGATTTGATCTTATTTAACTCAATGTGATCTGAGCAGAACATAATGTAACAGTTTAAAATTAAAATAATCTTATAAAGTCGATGTAATCACTGTTATTTATTGAACTGGTTAGCAGATATTAGCTTGTAGAGCATATATACAGAGTGTAGCTCTGTTGAATCATGCTACAATTTAACACAAACTGTTAAATATTACAGCTAATTTGTCCTCTGATTAATATTTAGACCTACAGAGTGTAAAATAATATTATAAATGTATTTTTAGGTTTCTGTTAGAGGAACCTGACCTGTTAAGAAGATGTTAGCTAATAGAGACAAGTTTCATCCTATAACCTGAGAACATTTTCTAACTGTGACTGGTAAATATAAATATTTTTAATTTTTATGACAGTGAGAAGAAATAATAAATATATTTTATTACTAGCTGAAGTCATCATTTTTCAACAAGCTAAAGTCTAAGTTACAGGCTGACTTCAGGTCTGGTTCAGATCATTGTTATTTATAAATTATATATTTTTCTGGTATAAATCTGCTGTTTTACATGATTGTTGAACGAAATTAACATAGTTATTAATTTATTGTAAAAACATGACAGATAATCTGTGAAACAGATCTGGTTCAGCTGCTGTTTATCTATTAGTTTCTATGGAGGCTGTGAGCTGTTGTCCTGTTTGGTCTCAGTTTCTGCTCCTCCATGTTGTCACAGGCTCTACCAGTGGACGGTATGGGCGGGGCTCAGTCTAGTGATCGTATTCAAGTTTATGGGTTGTATACATCAGCTGATCCAGTCTGACATGGTTGGGGTGGGGTCTCTGGGTGTATGTGGTGGGATCATCCTGACGTGTAGACCCTGCAGTTACTGTAGGCTGCCTTTAACGTGACTCGTGGATTCTGAAGAGATTTTGAAAGGATGTCAGGTGTCTGTGGACTGATGTGTTGCCGCTCTGCTGCAGGTGATGTGGCAGTGAAGATGCTGAACGTCACGGCTCCCACACCGCAACAGCTTCAAGCCTTCAAGAATGAAGTGGGGGTCCTCAGGTGGGCTTCCACACTTCTTCCACTCATCCGTTACTGACTTCACTCTGTTCCACTGGTGTTCTAATCCCGAGGAGATGTTCTGGAACCTCCTGACTGCAGCTCTTTCACGTTTTTAAGCCTGTGTGTATTTTAGGATTTACTGAGTAAATGAGACAGCTGCGCTTTATTTCCAGCTGATCAGAGTCACATTTGATGTGTAAGCAAGAAGAACCAGCCTAACGGCCTTTTCTTTTCTTTGTCAAAGTGTTTTTTTTTTTCAAACCAAGCTGTGCGCGTTTCCCCTCTCCTCCAGGAAAACCCGTCACGTGAATATCCTGCTGTTTATGGGCTACACCACCAAGCCCCAGCTGGCCATCGTCACCCAGTGGTGTGAAGGCTCCAGCCTGTACCACCACCTGCACATCATCGAGACCAAGTTTGAGATGATCAAACTGATCGACATCGCCCGGCAGACCGCTCAGGGCATGGAGTGAGTCCCCCCACCACAACAAAGTCCGAAGCTATCAGAGTCTTGTGGTTGTGTGACGTATGTCCTTCTGTTTGTCCTCAGTTACCTGCACGCCAAGTCCATCATCCACAGAGACCTGAAGAGCAACAGTATCCTTGAAAAAAGAAAAAAATTGTATAGGTCTTCTGGACGGGTTCTTCTCTAATGAAACGTTTCGTCTCTCCTCCAAGAGACTTCTTCAGTCTGAGAGTTTCAGGCAAAAAGTTTTGCCTGAAACTCTCAGACTGAAGAAGTCTCTT